TAGCTCCATCCATGTTACCTTAGTAAAGTGGCAGGATACAAAATCAATACGCAAAAATCAGTAGCCTTCCTATATACAAACAATAAATCTGAAGAAGAAGAAACCAAAAAACCATCATTTTTATTATTGAAACAAAATAAAAATCAAATACTTGGGAATAAACCTACCAAAAGAGGTAAAGGAACTATACTAAGAAAAGTATTAAAAAAACTGTTAAAAGAAATTGAAGAGGGCACAAAGAAATAGAAAGACATCCCCTGCTCATGGATTGGAAGAATTAACATTATTAAAATGGTCATCCTACCAAAAGCAATATACAGATTCAATACGTGTCCAATAAAATTTCAATGAGGGCCTCCCCGGTGGCGCAGCGGTTGAGCGCTGGGTTGCAAAGCTGCCCGCAGCCTCTGCAGCGCCGGTTCGATCCCCGGCTGCTCCCCGGCCACCAGAGGAGGGTCCCGCATGGCGCGCAGACCTCTCCTGCCGCCCGCTGCTCCCCTCAGCAGTGTCTTTCGGTCCTTCTGCCTGTTCTGCTCCCCGCTCTGGCTCTGGTGAATTCTCTCACCCTCTCGCGCTTCTGACTGTACCCAGTGCTTGTATAAATAAATAAATAAATGTTTAAAAAAAAATTTCAGTGACATTCTTCATTTATTATATTTTCATCTCCAAATTTGTTCTTTCAGAATTCTTCAGTTTCAGAGTTGCCAAAACACAGTTTGCAACTTTGAAGTAATCTCTCCTGCTCAGTTGAAAACCTAAAGCCCAAAGATGTGACTTTGGGATTTTATAACAGACACAACTCTGAGTTCGTATTACCCCGCTGGAATTCAGAAAATATGACATTTTGTTCTACTGATAAAGTTCAGACTCTAGTGGTAAAATCTACTGAAGGATACCCCTGGAGTCCCAGACTTGAATGTTGAAAAGGGACCCCATCCTCTAAGTGCACAAGGCCAAAGCAAACTCATATTGTGAAAGCACTCTAATAGAATTGCACATTTAGAGAGGAGAAGAAAAGATATTGTTCCTAATAAATCACTCAAATTACCTATCCCCTTGTTGGCAAATTCCCAATCTAACAGAATTAGGTAGAAGGACCTCTGAGATATGGAGGCTTGCCATAAATCTAAGGCATCTTGGGGCTGAGAACGTATGAAAGGGAGAGATGGGACCAGGCAAATCTGAGATGAAAGGAGCAAAAGCAAAACAGAAGTCAAGATAAACACTGCCATTTTCAGCCTCCCCGTGTGTTTGATTAATTAGTAAGAAAGGCTAATAATAGCCTTTTCCTATCTCGGTGTTCAGTGTTCATTACCAATCAATCAACTGTTGCTAAAAGGAAAAAAAATGAAACTTTCATCTCTTTCTTAAACAAGTATCAAAGATTCTCAACAGATTCACAAAACTAATGGGATTTGTTCTCTGGCATGTCATCTTTCAAGAATATCCTCACTCTAGAATGATATACCAGGGGGTTTATGCCTCAAAATTTCAAAGAAATGTTGGTGGTTTATTGCACCTCATAAGGACAAGGCTACTTCTCTGTGGTTGAGTTTGGGCAATTCCATTCTGCTAAATCTTAAGGAGAGCTTATCACGAGATCTGAGAGGATGAAATGATTCATCTGGAAACATAAAAACCTAAAAATCGTAGAGAGTACCAGGATTGCTTCTGCTGCCCAAATAGTTTCTGCTGACCAGTGTCATGGGTGTGTGATTACATCTAAGAACTGCATGCCACTGTCTGATCCTCAACATTCTCTGCTGACTGGCAACCTTGGCCACTACCCAATGGCTGTAAGAGCTCATCTTTGACCAGTGCCTAGACATTTCCTGGTGACTTGCCAGTGTGCCTGTGCCTGGTGCCTCTAAGAACTGGCTGTTGCTGCTACCTGATCTTTAATATCCCCTGCTGACCAGAAGCAAAAACTGCTGGCCACAAAACCTGTTACCTTCAGCATTGTGTGGTCTAACTTCCAAACTGGTGCTGCTATTGTGCAGCCTCAGCAGTGCCACCTTGAATACCTGCAGCTGCCACTGTTCTTGGGTCTGCTTTCCAGCATATAACCAACTCCAGTCTATCATCAGAAGGACAGCACCATAATTTATAAGAAAGTTATGATTTGGACAACCCCGTTGTTACACTCAGAATCTGAGTCATGTCTTGCAAATATGAGTGCATGGTGTGGACCCACCAACCGTTTTATTCCCAAGGTTGTATGGTTTCAATTTGATACTTCTGGGTGGGCCTGGATACATATGATTGACCAACCAAGATCTTGTCATTGCATTTGTCACCATAAGCATAGTACAATTGCAAACTATATGGCAGGATTTGATTTAGAGTAACTGTTTTTTAAAAAGCTTTATTTATTTATGCATAGAAGAACTAGGACACAGGCCAGAGGCATGGAGGGTGAGAGGATTCCCCAGAGACAGCCGGGAACAGAACAGGCAGACTGACTAAAATACACTGCTGAGGGGAGCAGCGGGTGAGACAGGAGAGGTCTGCTGCACCATGTGGGTTGCTCCCTGGCCAGCCGGGGATCAATTTTTTTTGTGCTACAGTGGCTGCGGACAACTTCATAGTGTTGTGACCCAACCCCTTGTGTCACCAGGGAGGCCCTAGGGTAATTTTGAATAGACATGGGTTCAACTTTCAGTTTGAGTGGCATTGCTTTTCCTCCTCCTCCTCCTCCTCTTCTCCTCTTCCTTACTTCCTCTCTTATTCATCTCTTCTGCTTCTTTTTTTCCCCTCCTCCTCCTTTTCTGTTTGCCTTTGTCCTCCTCTTCCTTCCAATTCTTCCTTGTCTCTGTATCTATTCCACCTTAGGTTTTGGTTTCACAAATCTAATAAGATCTGGTGTTATCAAATTGACTTTTGTTTTGGGGAAGATTCTATTTTCAATAGACAGGATCTCTGGGCACATAATTGGTGCTCATTTACAAGCTCTAATTTAAAATTTTTCCTTCTGGAAAATAATGTCTTTTTTAGTTTGAGAGGAGGTGAGCCTTCTGTTTTTATTGAGCATTTTATTGAATTGCAGTTGGAAAGACAGAGGTATATTTGATGACATAAAAAAACATAAATTACCATCTCATAACCTTGAGTGGTAATGTGGAGGTTGGAAAAATGAGGACTGACACTTCCTGATAGCCATGAATATACTAGTGGATTTAAATGCCTCTTATGGGGAGGCTGTGGAGTCTCCACGGAACTCCTTTTCCTCCTAGAATAGGAACTGAAAGATTTTTCCTCATATCATGTAGGACACGTAATATGACCAAGGAAACTCCCAGAGGCAGCACAGTTCCTTCTTCATAAACACTCAGAGAGTATTAATTAATAGTATCAGTCTTCTAGGTTATATTGCCTTTTTCCACTCTCCTTTCCTACCAGCAGGAGTAAAAGGTCGAAAAATATATTTACATCTACTTTTGCCTTCCATCATCCTACTTAGGAAGATATACAATTTATGTTAAATACATAATTAGCATCTGATGTTAATTTGGAGAGTTGGTTTAGGGAAGGCTAGTGAAGAAGCTCATCATCTCCACCAGGAGGCTCTGGAAACCCAGACCAGAGGAATCTGTCCCAGTTGTAGACCCTACTGGGACCCCAGTGAGGGGGCCAGGCAAGGGCACTGTCAGGACACCTATTAGTAGGACCAGGGCAGGGAATTCTGAGCAACGTGCTTTGGAAAGAGCTTCAGCAAAAGGTTGAGGATCTGCTAGAGTTCTGTGAAAGTATTATGAAAATGTATGGTGCCTACCCTAACGTGAATCTTGATGCTCCAGAAAATGCTTGGATGACTAACATGACATTCTTTGCGCGGATATAAGATATCAGTACCCCAGATGTAAGGAGGAAGTAAACCAAAACAGAGGATGCTGTAGAGATGAGTCCTTCCAACTGGTGGAAATAAGCTTTAGGCTCTATAATGGAAGAGAGGGAAGGGAACATATGGTATACCTGTATCAGTATTGTAGGGAGGGAGACAGGACAGCATTCAGGAGGAAGAGAGAAGGGACAAGGAGACACAGGAGGATGAGAGAACCTCCAAGGAAGAACCATATTGTACGGAAGAAGGTCACTGAAAGAACAGGAGTCCCACGTTGAGGCTGTAAGTGAGAAAGGGAAGCATGAATGAGAAAGTGAAGAAGCAAAGGTAAGCATATGACACCCCCACAGGGTGGGGTCTTGGAAAATCTTTGTAGGGCAGAATACAGGAAAAGGCCTGAAGGGGCAAAGAGAGAGGAAAGAAAGGTAATGCCGGTAGTCCAGAATGAGGAGTCGTGGGGGCCCCGGGATTCCCCTTGATCTGAAATCGGCTTGGATCCCCGGTAAGTCTTAACAAGGGGGAGAGTTTGATTGGCTTTTCAGTGGACACTGGCATGACCTATTCAGTTTTATCTTTAAGGTAGCTTGGATCAGCAAGAAACTGTGCCATTCACTGTGGCTATGGGAAGCCCACAACAGAAAGCCTTCCTACAACCTTTGAGTGCAAACCTGCACACAGTTTCCTGTACACAGAAGTCCAATTCCACACCCTGGTCATGATCTCCTTAGCAAACAAGGGACAGAATATTTTTTCACTCCAGGGCCACTGGTTGCCCTAAGGGTGCCACAGAACATGCAACAGCAGATGGTACTTGCAATAACAGATGGTACTCAAGATGATGCACCAGGAGGTGAAACACAACCCCAGAGATTTATGAAAGGGTTAGTAAAATGTTCTGGGCTAATGGCTCTCCAGGACATGCCAAATATATGGAATCTGTGAAAACAGCACTGTTGGAAGGGAGCAGGACCCTAAGTAGAAAGCAAAATCCTCTGAAAGAGTAAAATTGACTGCACCTGTCTCCGGCCCTACTGCTGTGAGGGAGTAGGAGGAGACCCAAAGGCCTAGGTGAGGGTCTGGTGTCTCACTGATAAAGCACTGTGTCTGATCATCTGACATCATCTCCCAATGCTGCTTCCTCCACTGTGATCTGTTTCAGCGTCTGGTACTGTCCATCCCAATCTTCAGACTGTGTGGCTGGGCTGGGGCTGCAGCATCATCTTAGCAGACTCCGTGAACACTTCAACTGCAGTGAGTTGGATCCTTGCTCTCTGTTTGAAGCTGCCATATGCCTCATTGGCAGGACAGCACCATCTTAAATGAGCAAGATTTTATTTGGAACTTCTGGAAAGTTGGGCATTACCTAAGGTGAGATAGCTGGTCAGTTGTAATCTTAGAAACTCTTTGTTTCATCTGTTTGTTAAATAAACCACATTGTCATTTCCTGAAACTGAGTGGCCTTACAATTGTGTGTGCAGGTGAGAATCCACAGACAATGACCTGCCCACTCCTCAGTACTGTCCTCCGGTGGGTATAGCACCCCAACAGCCCTATTTCATTATGCAGATTATATTATAAGCCCCATTTTTAAATGACAAAACTGTGACTCAAGACTAGCTAAGTACCTTGTTGGAAGAACTAGACCCAAGATGAAATTGTTGTCAGAACTCTATTAAACCTAAACTCTCAGCCATTATGATGTCACTTTTCATACTGTTATCTTGAATATGTAACACATCTCTCTGATAATGCATGAATATTAAAAAGTTTGTAAATATTGCTTAATTGTATTTGAGCTCTTAACTGATCTAATGAGTTTTATGAAATCCAACATTCTTAAAACAAGATAGAGAGGTAAAATAGTGAGAGTTAAATATTTTGGCCATGGTTCTATTAAATAGTAATACGACTTTGATTGTTGTTTGGGCAAAGCAGAGACTGGTAATAAAATGGGAATATTGCAAATAAGTACACATGTAAGAGACTCTGGAAACTAAGGAGAAAAATTTAGGTTACCGTGTAAAAAAAAGCAGTACTGGTCTAGAATGCATGGGAGAAAAAATAAACATAATTCTAAGAAAGGCTGTTTTTATGGTTATTATGGAGTAGACCTGTCAATATTTCTGGTGGTGTGTGAATATGTGTGAATGCGTTTATAAGAAACATATATGTAAATGTTTTATCTGTTGTGCGATATTTTTCATATCATCAGTATAAAGTATTGGTAGTATAATTTACAATTTGGTTGCTTTGATGGCAGAAAGATTTCAGGGTAGGGTTAAGGAGGATAAATTTTACCACTTTCTTGGATCAATATGACAATGTTGATAAAGGGGTAACTACAAGAATCTGATGACACACCCTAAATGAAAGCAGAAAATAGTAGTGTTGAATTTTGAAATTATAACTCTGACACAATGATACAACAGGTTCTTAAACGTATTTCTGAATATGTCAGCATGTGCAGTTATCTAATTTACTGACTTAATAATAGTCTTTTGTAACTACTTTAGTATGTTAAACTTACTATTGCCCATAATGAAAGACTATAGTTACTAATCACAATATACCATGTTAAACTTGACGAAGGTTGCTAAACTTGCATGATATAAGAAATTTTAGCTATATACAACACATTTTCTTGAGGAATTTGATTGGCTGTTGTAGATATAAAACCAATATAAATTGAGATCATATTTGAAAGAAAACTAAAGGATCAGTCATCCTGGATTTCAGGCAATAATTTTGGCTAGAAACATTCAAAGGTATGTAGAATTTACTCATATTAGTATCCTTTCTTTGATACAATTTTCTTCTGTATTTCATGTGTTAACATATGGAGATGTATTATACTTTCTGCTATCCAGAATTAATTAACTTTTTCAGTTGGGTCATAACTAAATTAGACTTTAATTAACAATTTTCCTTTTAGCAAGTTTCCTTTTTCTTGCAGCAAAGTGTTTTTTCTATGTTTCTTTCAATTTTAGTTTCAGAATACCAAATCACTTTCTATAACCACAGCGGGTTGAGTGCCCTGCTGTGAAGCTGTCCACAGCTTCTGCAGCACCAGTTAGATTCCTGGCCCTCCAGGGAGATTCCCGCATGGAAGGACGACCTCCCGTCTCGCCCGCTGCTCCCCTCAGCAGTGTACTTTGGTCCTTCTGCCTATTCTGCTCCCCTTCTGTCTCTGGTAAACTCTCTCACCCTCCCATGCCTCTGTCTTGTACCCCAGTGCTTGTGTAAATAAATAAATCTTAAAAAAAAAAAAACCTAGAGAAAATACTTTAAATTAATTACAAATAAGTTAATATATTCTCAGCCTGTGATTACTTTGTAGAACATTTTCTGTAAGTATATATATATATATAAAACAATTCATTTTAAGACATAATCATTACCTAAATGATTGCTGTATATTTTTCTTATTAATTGGAAAAAATAGACGTAGGTTATAGGTAAACTTGTGGTGCTTCAGAGAGCATTACTGCACATTATTCACTTCCATAAAAATGTTTAAGGTTTTCAACTTACAACTTTCAAACTGAATCGGTAATTTGGAATGTGGAATAATGTGCAAACCCTAGGATATTTGAGTTTTGCTTAATAATTCATGTGACTAATTTGTGGAGTAATTAAATGCAATTTTTTATGAATTTTTTTATTTTATATAGTTGTTACATCATTTTTCATTTTTGCATAATGCATGCATTTTCATTTCAGTTATATTTTCCATATAATTCCCACCCCCTTTTTCTGACCCTAATCCCTCTTGTCCTCCCCTCACCCTCCACTATATTGTGTCTCTGGTCTATAGTTGCTTGTTGATTTTTATTTTTACTTTATTGCAATTAGTCTTTTTCCTGGTCCTTTATTTAGGTTTTCTAAATCCCTACTATGAGTGAGACCATCCTGTACTTTCCTTTTTCTTTCCGGCTTATTTTGCTGAGCATGATCCTTTCCAACTCCATCTTTGTTGCTGCAAATTGCGTGAGTTTATCTTTTTTGATTGCTGAGTAATAGCCCACTGTGTATGTGTACCACATCTTCTTGATCCAGTCATCTGTTTTTGGGCATTTGGGTTGTTTCCATAACTTAGCTATTGTAAATAGTGCTGCTATAAACATAGGGGGCAGGTGCCCTTTTGAGTTAAAGTTTCTGTGTCCTTTGTGTAAATACCTGGGAGTGGAATTGCTGGATCCTATGGAAGCTCTATGTTTAGTAGGTCCAGAAATCTCCACACAGCTCTCCATAGTGGTTGGACCAGTTTGCACTCCCACCAACAGTGCAGGAGAGTTCCTTTTTCTCCACACCCTCGCCAACATTTGTTGTTGCTAGTTTTTTTACTATGTGCCATTCTCACTGGTGTAAGATGGTATCTCATGGTAGTTTTGATTTGCATTTCCCTGATGACAAGTGATGTTGAACATTTTTTCATATGCCTGTTGGCCATTTGCATTTCCTCTTCAGAGAAGTTTCTTTTTAGCTCGTCTGCCCATTTTTTGACTGGATTATTTTCTTTGTTGTTGTTGAGTCTCATCAGCTCTTTGCAGATTTTTGTGATCAGATTTTTGTGTTATCATTAGTGTTGTGTGCAAAAATTTTCTCCCAGTTGGGGTTTCTCTTTGTTTTGGTTATTGTTTCTTTTGTTGTGCAGAAGCTCTTTAATTTGATGTAGTCCCAGCTGTTTATCTTTGCCTTCATTATCACTGCTTACAATGCAAATTTTTAATGAATGGAAGATGCCATTCATTAAAAGTAGAATATTTTAAGTATTAAAAAAAGTTTAAAAAGCCATTAAAGAAAAAGGGATATTAGAATGAAGGAAAATTGGAAACCCTTTTGAGAAAGAAGTTTTGTTCAGCCATATAATCTGAAACATAGACCTCTATAGATCAGTCTTGCCAAGTTCCTACCATTAAGAAGTTTTGCAACTAAATCCCACTCATCCCTGAATCTATATTGACAACTGCCTTGATAATCTTTTCTGAACTATCTAGTCTGCTTTAACAGTAACAACACCTTGTAGATAACACAAGAAACATTTCAATTACTTCTTATTTTAAAATATGAATACCAAGTAATATCTTCATGATTTCTGAGTTCCTAGAAATACTAATTCCTTATTAATTATAAATTACATTTAATTCTATGACTCTGGGGGAGTATACATGAAGAAAAGGGAAGAATATCAAATTATGTAATGAAAGAAGATTGATATGTTAAACCTTGATCTAGCGCTCAAGTTAAATTTAGAACATCTAGTACCACTGAGATTCAGAAACACTGTAATGATATGACAAATGGTAACTATACGCTAAGAAGTTATCTCACAAGGAATATTCCCAATGTCTTTTACTAGCAAACAAACTAAGTGTGTTATGTGTATTTCAGTAAGCACTAAAGATGTGTGCAACAGGTATTAACTTGTATTTCAGAGTCATCAAGAAATGGGGACCTGGATTTTATTTGCTTATTTCCTGGGAGTAGCCTTCAGTATGCCTGTGAGTATAAATCAATGTCCAATTTTACAGTCTTGTTCACAAAAAAAGAAGATTCTAAGATGCCTCCTTCAAAGATTCTGATTAGTATAGTTGTGCTAAGGCACAGGACAGTACATTTTAATCAGCACCTTTTCCCCACAATTTAACACATGTATCTAGAAAGTATAGAAAGGCAGTTTCCTGTATAAAATAATTCATGATCAGTTGAGAGTGAACAAGCCCTCCTATAAAATACAAGAATTTTTTTCAAAAAATTAGTTTTTTATGCATACAAAAAGTGGGGTAAAGGCCAGAGGTATTGGGTATGAGAGGATTTACCAGAGAGAGTGGGGAGCAGACCAGGTAGATTGACTGAACTACACTGCTGAGGGGAGCAGCGGGTGAGATAGGAGAGGTCTGCTGCACCATATGTGGGTTAGCTCCCTGGCCCAGAATCGAGCTAGTGCTGCAGTGGCTGTGGATAGCCCCACAGGTTGCATCTGAACCCCTTGCACCACAAAGGCGGCCCATTTTTGTATTTATTGTTGGTGTTCAGTTATTTTACATGCTAGTTCAGTTACTTTACATGCTAGGTACTTAATACTTAGGTACCTCCTTTTCTGGAAAGAAATTCACTTCTCTTTGGCACTTCATAATTGTGTAAGCATAGAGTAAATTTCATCAAGAAGTAAAGAGATAGGTGAGATGGGGGGTAGGATTAATTGACAACATGGGGAGGGGGAAGAATTGTACAAAGATCACAGAAAATAAATAAGTGCTGGTTACTGTTTTTGCTCTCTACCATAAGAATATAATCTACCCCCTGGCAGCCCTCTCACAGAAAGTCATTTAGGTGTTATAGAACTCTTTAAAATAAAAGGGCTCCTCTCACACACAGTATGCATGTTCAAACGAAAGGTAGACCTCAGGTATATTCTGCTCTATATAGATTTATTGTTAAAATAGCTTTAGACTCTTGAAAGCAAACAATTGCTTTTTGACTCAATCTCTTCTTTTCTTCCTCCCCTCCTCCTCCTTCCCCTTCCATCCCCCCACAACTAATCTCTCTCTCTCTTTTACTCCCTTGCTCCTTTTCTCCCTGCCCCCGCTCCTTATAAAAGCTACCACCTCATCCTGGACACCCTGGTTATATCAACTTCAGTTATGAGGTAATTTTTGTCTTTACTCATTTTGACCATTATTTAAGTTAGAAATGATCTGTACTTTGTAAGACCATGGTGTTTTGATTCTTAATCAAGATATTTCTCAGTCATCAGTTCCCACAACCAGCTTCTCAGTTTAAACCCTAATCAAGTTTGCATTGCTGCTGCACACTTGGGCCAGATCTCCTTGAGTCTTATATGGTTATATCATTATGTACTGTGAACTACAATTCTGGGGAGACTGATTGGTAGGACAGAAACTGAACTCTGACTAAAAAGCTTTTATTTACCTTGACCACTAAATATGATGTTAGCTAAAATGTAAGTTAGGGTTCTTTCCAGTTAGACAACATCTGAGTCTAAGATCTGTATGTTGTTCACACTATAAGTGTCTTCTTCATTTATCTTTCATGAAAGATTAGTGAGCAAGTGATTAGTGAGAAAGCTATAGGAGGCAAGATATTTCTAAAAACTAATTTGAGGTTCTCCTAAATCCCTCAATTTAAACATGTGACGTTGGGCCAATCATTTTTTCCTCAAACTCTGAAGAAGGGAAATAACTATAAAACTCACACTTCACATTGTTTTGTCTGGGGAACAAAATAGTTAAGAAATATAAATATGTTTTCTAGTGAACAGGATTAGTAACTGTTCATTGTATTGATTGTACAACATAAAAGAAATGCCTAGTTTTGAGGTTAACCAACTATATATTATTTAGAAAGGAAAGAACCGTTAACTTGTCTGATAGGTATAGATGAAAGCGTGTGAGTCTCATACAAGCTGAGGATAAAATTTTAGAATTTGAGACATCATTTTCTGTTAAGCATTGAAAGACTGATATCTTGCACCAGAAAATCTGTGTTTTTAGGTAGAAGTGTTTTTGTGTTCTTTATTTTTTTATTGTGATATCAAATCAAATAGGATATAATTAGTTATGTTGCATATCTTGTCTTGTTTTGGATTTGCAAAGAGCAGGAGCTACAGACTAAACAGAATTATCACTTTTGTAAACTCATTTATACTCATAAACTTCTTAAATGCTCGCTCCATAACCTTGTCTGTAACAGTATGGGTGGTGCCTGGAATGCCTAACATAGGAAGAAGGTGGTGTTCACTTCTTTCCATAGAAGTCATATTTTTAGGCTATCAATGTCAACAGGACTGCACTGATGAATCTATATTTCATGTAACAAAATTAAAACAGATGGTTCTAATGTCTCTGTCTCTTAAGGTGCTTACTCCTCTGAAATGGTACCAGAACATGATAAGACAACCGGTATGTAGATTCTTTGTTCTTGAATTCTTAAAATACTAAGCATTTATTTCAACTCCTTTTCCAGTGAATAGCATCCATATGCCACATACAGGCACTAACGGGGAACCTAGTTGTGAAAGCTCATTCTGCACATAGAAATTTTTGCACAGAAAAAAAAAAAATCAGTGAATAAATAAAAGACGACACAGCTGGTGCTCCAGCTGGAAGTCGATGGAGCCGATGGTAAAACCTGACTCTTTGTTTCTCACCAGTACCCTTCCTATGGTTACGAACCCATGGGTGGATGGCTGCACCACCAAATCATTCCCGTGCTGTCCCAGCAGAATCCCCCGAATCACGCCCTGCAGCCTCATCACCACATCCCCATGGTGCCAGCTCAGCAACCCGTGGTCCCCCAGCAACCAATGATGCCCGTTCCCGGCCAACACTCCATAACTCCAACCCAACACCACCAGCCCAACCTCCCCGCACCCGCCCAGCAGCCCTACCAGCCCCAGCACGTCCAGCCGCAGCCTCACCAGCCCATGCAGCCCCAACCACCCATGCACCCCATCCAGCCCCTGCCGCCACAGCCACCTCTGCATCCGATGTTCCCCATGCAGCCCATGCCCCCCCTTCTTCCTGATCTGCCTCTGGAAGCCTGGCCCTCAACGGACAAGACCAAGCGCGAAGAAGTGGTGAGTAGACCTTGAAGCCACTGCAACTCCCATGAAAATGATAAAGAAAAATTGGCTCTCAGAGTTTTAAGTTCTCAAACAATGCAGAGTTTAGAGTTTCAGTAGCCATAGCCAGTGACAGCAATACAACAATACAAGCTTGTTTGATCCTTTATTTTATGAAAGAATTTATGTATGTATGTGGCATATTTATGTTGAGTTCAAAACTATAGAAATGTTGAGTTCCTGTCGTGATATACATTACTGAAAGATATTTATTTTAAGACCACTACATAGGGGAATATCAGCTTTCTTTATCTTTCAATGGTTTGGCTAGCAAGATTAGATTAGACTAATTTTGAGAGTGAGGAAATGCAAATGTCAGAAGAGTTTGAAAGAACAAAGTAACTGGAAAATCTTCTAAAATACCCAAGTAAATACCTGTTAGATTTTTTTTCTTTTTCTATTAATGTAAGGTGGAGGCAGACTTTTAGATTCCCTTTCATTGTTAGGGTTAAATAGATTAAATTTTTATTAGGACTTTTTCACAATTCATTTCAAAATCTGTTAAGAAGTTTTTTCTAACAAATGAATAATCGATAAGACTTCATCTTATTGGCATCAGTACTCAGTGCTTTACATGTAAATTTATTTAATAGTACAATTTATTAAAATGGTTTTTTACCTAGAAGCAGTGAGAGATAATGTAGAAATATCTTGCATGGGTAGTAAGGACAGATGGAGTCTCCTGTTAACTTTTCCTTAAAGAAGAAAATGGTATCATTATGCAAATTATTTCAAATTTATGGGTGTCTACTCTCCCAGCTCAAAAAGTGATGGAGTCAGGTAATTTTAAAGGTTTGTTCAGGCATTTATGCTTAATGAGTTTAATAGAAAGAGGAAATACTATTAGTAAAATAGTTCTCCAATCCAAAGTTTGTATAAGCAAGATATATATATATATATGAGCATATTTATGAGGCATATAGTACAGAATTTTCAAAGATAAATTGTATCCCAAATAATGACAGTTATGCAGTTATTATTCTAGTTGAAGATTAATATTTTCTCAACATATAAGGAAATACATTTCTTTATTTGCTTATTGATAAGACCATGGGCTTCGTAATACACTCATACCATGTCAAAGCCATTTATGAAGGTATGACTTCTTCGGATAGTCATTACATAAGACATCAGGGTAAAAAATAGTGACAGTACAAAACACAACAAAGCAAAAACAGACAATTATAAATCATAGAAACACTGCAAAGGTGGAGGAAGGAAAGGGATCAGAGGGAGGGAGAAAGAAGCACAGGGGACTGAGTTGATGGTGCACGGGTGCATTGGGGAAGGAATCTCCAGGGGTACTATACCTGAAGGGTTGGGGAAAACAAATACTGTTTAAAAACGAACAGTGATGTAAATTTTTTTTTAATTTTTAAGAAATTTAGAAATTAAAAAAAGTAGTCATTACATGTGTAAAAGTAAGCATATAAGTGTACACCTTCTTAGAGTACATTTTTTCCTTGAAACTGAAGCTATGTGTATTACTATACTTAGTCCTCTCTAGGAAAATTGTTAAATAGTTTAAATATGCTTTTCTGTTTTTTTTTTCTTTTCAGGATTAAGGGATCAAAAAGTGGGAGAACTAAGCTAGATATTTTAGTTGCTTTAAAGAAAACACAGAAAACAGTGATTTGTGCCTACAATGTGTTTAATAATAAATTCTGTAACTCAAGATAAATACCAGTAGAAGCCAATAAAAATTGTCAAAAATATCTATGTATTGTTTTTTAATCAAATGTAAACATCCATGTCACTAAAAAGAACATGCAAACTTACAACTTGTAGACAGTTTGAAAAGCAAATAAAAATATTTTGTTTGGCGGAATTTAAATTATAATACCCCAAATCATTTTTTGGTATGTATTATTTTATCTCTTAGTTGTATTAGCTGATAAAAATCTGAAATATGATAATATACTATCACTGAACCCAAACTTGAAAAATACATTTAAAAATGAACTAGGACTTGGTGCATTATAAATAATGACAATTTTTATAAACTGGACTATTCAGACCACCGAAAAATATTTTAAAATAAATTATAATGTTTTGTTAAATTTAAAATTTCTAAATTTTTTAGAAATTTAGGGGAGAGATTCCATACTGTCAAAAACTTAGTAATATTGAACAATAGCACTAATTAAAACATCTAAATTTTTACAAAATAAAACTAACAAAATAAAACTGATTTCTAAATTAATTTTCAAAAGAAAATCTCCATTAAATGGTGTCACAAGAAATCTTCAAATAAATTTTTTATTCAAGTTATTTATTTTACTTCAGAGTCTTTAACATGATAGGTTCTACGTGCTACCATATGCATGTAATAGAGTGAAATAAATTTTCTTTTCCAGTCATCATTGTAACCACTCTTGCAGAATTTCTATTACATAGCAAACACAGTACCTTTATCCAAGTATCTTCATGATTAAGTACACTTAGTGGTGTTAATGCACAAACTTATTGTGGGGAGATACACTTGGGTGAATAAGACAGGAAGGAAGTCCAATAAGAAAGTCAGCATGGTGTGGTTCTCCCCAGTTTCTGTGGTCCTGGCCCACAGAGCTATGAGCAATGCCAGAATGGAGCCATCAGCATATACCACTTTCAAGGATGACCAGACCCCTTCAAGTTTCCCCACCCTGTTTCCTGATTTAGCAGAGATAGTTTATCCCAACAGTGGCATCTCCTGAAAAAGTGGCATTCTGCTCCATGAGGATACTGCCATAAATAACATCCTAGAAAGCTACAAAAATGCAGACAGAAAAATACAACACATGGCATCTTGAGTCCTCATGGAATACTTCACAAGGAGAACTCATAAATCCAGTCACAAACACATGAGTATCTTTCATTTCTATCAGATACAGAATACAAAATTCATGTTAAAGAACTTAAAAGAAATGGATGAAAACAGAAAAGGTGAACAATTTAGAAAAGCAAATGCATGTCTTTAGTGATAAATTAATTAATCAAAGTTAGAAACTGAAGTTTTAAATAGAAAATAACAGAGATGCCAGATGCAAAAGACTAACAGTGGTGATAAAAAATTCTGGGGAAAACTATGGGTGTGGAATAGATCAGAGGAAAGACTGAATCTGTGATGTTGAATATAGTAACATACAAAGAATCCAAGTGAAATAACACAGAGGTTGAGTATGAGCCACACAGAAGTGGCAGTGGCACCAGCTTGACATGGATTTTGGTGATTGCAGCAGTGAGACAGAGGCCAGTGTAGGGTGTTGGAGCCCACAAGAATTGAGACAGTGACTCCCACAGAAAGGTGCAGTGATTGGTAGTGACAATGAGAGACTGACTATATTTAGGGGAGATCCAATGCATTTATATTAATGGTGGAAGAACAAAATTCCTCTGTGTCAGAGAAGTGAAGGAAACTGGAAGTAGCCATGTAGTTTTGGATTAGATTTCAAGCATTTGTATGTAGTCATGACTCACAAGATATTACTATTTGGAATTCCACCCTAGGACATGCTTTCCACTCACACCATCATTTATATTAGTAAAGATTCACATTTCTAATTCACTCAGTATATTATAATTCATTATTCTCATGCATTTGGCTATTGAGATAGGGTTACCAGATAAGATACAGACTATGCAGGTAAATTTGAATTTCATCAAAACAGAGAATGGTATTTAGGAATGCCAGGGAGGAGGCTGACTGTCCCCACCAATGGGATGGAGAATCCCTAGAGCCAGAGATGGTTGTCCCAGTGGTAGATCCCCTGAATAGGACCCCAACAATGGAGGAATGGAAATGTTACAGCTATACAAAAATTGTGCATTGGATGAACTGCAGCAGGGAATCCCCAAATAAAAAAAATTTAACAAAATATTACAACATGAACAGGGAGCAAATGAGGATCCATCAGAGTTCCTTGAGTTACTCAGAAATATACCAACCACAAGGACATAAACCCAGATTCCCCAGAAAATCCCCATCTGATCACTAATGCATTCATCACACATAGTGCCCAAGACATAAAGAAAAAGTTAGCAAAGGTGGACAGTGTCACAGAGATGAGTCCATCCCAGGTGATGGATTTAGCATTCCAGGTTTACAATAATAGAGGGGACAGGAGGCTGAAACCTATGACCATTTTTGTACAAAAGCACAGGATGGGTTTCAGGAACACAGTAACAGACTGAAATGTGAACCCAGGGGAAGTGAATCCATGAGAAGTGAACCACTAGGGAGAAATCAGTGTGCTTACTGCAGGAAAGAGGGACATTGGAAGTATAGCTGTCCCAGATTATAGGTAAGCAGCAGACAAAATAATTACAGGAGACAAGGCCTCCCCTGGTGGTGCAGCGGTTGAGGGCTGGGCTGCGAAGCTGCCTGCAGCCTCTGCAGCGCCAGTTCGATCCCCGGCTAAGGTTCAACATGGTGCGCAGACCTCTCCTGCTACGCCCGCTGCTCCCCTCAGCAGTGTATTTCTTCAGTCTGCCTGTTCTGTTCCCTGCTCTGTGTCTGGTGAATTCTCTCACCCTCCCACACTTCTGACTTTACCCAGTGCTTGTACACATAAATAAATAAATCTTAAAAAAAAAATAATTACAGGAGACAGAAGACTGAGGACACCACGACATGACGATTCATGCAGGGGTTACTGAACGGAATACAGACGGAGTACAAGGAAACCGGAACCCAGGAGAGAGGAAAGGAGCACAGAGTAGAGGCTCACGTGATGATAAGAGAGAATACGAACCAAATATAAGGAATAAAGAGCCATGTACAGAGGAAGCCATTTACAAATGATAGCACACAGAGAAGGTTCAGATAAACAATAGGGGGCCCACTAGATCTAAACAAGCCCAGAAGGAACTGACCCAGAGACAAAAATCCCATTGGTTTTGTGATCTCATCAAGGACTTGAGACAGTGATTTAAGAAAAAGACAAACAGTTGAATGCTACTGACTTCTTTTCCAGTTATTGTTGTAGGATACCCAAGGATTTGAAAGGATTGGTGCAGTAAAGAAAAGGAAAGGCAGGCTAAGTTTCTTACAGGCAAGAAATTTATTGAGCTCATGTGCAAGGTTCGCCGACCCCCATAGGGGCGGGAGAAGTCCCACTCTTTGGGGTATAAGGGCAAGCTTTTACAGGGCAGGGTCTGGCCTTGGAAGGAGGTGGAGAATGCTGAGCGGAAGTTGCTTTTCAAAGAAGTTTTTGCTCTCAGAACTGGTTGTTCTTTCAATACTGCTTATCAGGGCCTGTGCAAACCAGGCAGAGCTGGCTCCCAGGATGCGATGGCAGCAGTTTGACCCCCTTCTTAACCCCATTTCTTCCCTAGCCTCAACTTTACAGGATTCACTTTTCTGAAGAAACTCTGAGATGATTGACATGATCTAACCAATATTTTTCCTTTCAAAATTTAGGAGACATGAAATAACATCTAGAATCATGCATGTGCCGGTAGTTTTTTTTTTTTTTTTTTTTCATACAGAGAGACTTTCAATCCCGATTTTGGTATTTTCTTTCAACTTCATTTTGGCCTATGAATGGAACTGCAGTTGTATAAGATATCCCATGCGTGATAAATGATAACTAAAGAGCTCTTTGTGTCTGTATGTAGTATTTATGTATGTCATTTCCTTGTATCCTTCTCTTGGCTGCTAGTGGTTGACAAAATGTTATACATGTTATCTATAGACACTGAAAAGAAAGAAAACAAAACAAAAGTCTCCACTTATGGAAAAAATACTAAAGGTTATGGTTTGATTGTCTACATTGCATTCCTGATCTAAGCCTTTGCTTTTTATAGAGATTGAATATTGTTGTTTCTGCTGTTTTCTGATATTTATGGCAAAGCTTCCCAGAAATCTAAATTCAAGTAAAATTTGGTAATCTGTCATTTGCTTGATAGAAAGAAATCTTGTGGAACCTCAGTAGAGCTCCTGATACACTCCACAAAATTTCTCCCTTTCCTCCTGGGAAAGGCATTAGATGAATTTGTCCTATTTGGCTTACCTAATAGAGTAAAATTAGATGGCAAGCACTGTCACTTGGAAAAACGTTAACAGTTTGACATGTACAGAAATGTTAACATTGGTTTTCTAAAATGTGTATACAACCTCTCAATACCTGTTATGTATGTAAATTGTCAATGGTGATTGTCACCTTGCAATATTGCATACTTCAATAGTTTGATATCCATAGAAATTATTTCTGGAAAAAAAACAGGGAGAAAAGGCCTCAACAGATTCCTATTAATAGAACTGCTGAGAGTAAAAATTTCCTATGAAGGACTGAATAGACCTGGAGATACACCTGATATTTTTTACTAAGTTTTATTTGACATAATACTGGTAATTTTTTTCTTGCATTTTGTTCTGAAACCACAAAGTGTTCTTGTTTTGAGTGACGAGGATCTGAAGCAATGTTGCATTTTTTTTCCCCAGCAAAGCTAATTTAACTTGTGTTCACATTTTTTCTCCCTTCAATACCAACACAGGATGAAAAGAATGGTAGTATTTTTATTTTTGCTATTTATCCCAGTCTGTGTTTTGCATAACTTCCGTAGGGATTTTGTCTTCTGAAACTAAAAAAAAATTGGCCATGAGTCTCAATGTGTGGCTTTGAGTGGAGTTCTTCCAGAAGATGAAATAGAGCTGAAACAAGAAGAGGAGAACTTGTTGCTTTGTTCGTAGGGCTTGGAGGTCCA